CTCATGTAGCTGATAATACAATAATCATGCTACCAGACGAAGAAGATTCTTTACAAGAAAAAAATCCACATTTTCCTACAAACGGTACTGAGGTGATGAGCGATTATGCCGAAAATTCAGGAGCTGCTACATCGATTGAAAACAAAGAAAATATCAACCATCTTCCAAAGAAAGACCCGAACAGATCGATTGGATTATCGCCTGAAAAAACTCATGAAACGATACCTGACATATTGACAAACAATTCGGAGCACCATGATTCTCAAAACCGTGTGCGACAAGTAAATGTTGAAATGTTCACAGTGACCTTGAAGCGCAGGGATTCACCGAAGATCGAAAAATGAATATTAATTACAATAATACATAATAATATTTAGTAATACAACTTCTCAGTAAATAATAATACATTTCATACAAAAACCATAAATATAATTTTTTTTATTTACATCACAGTAATTTCGTTAACAAATTAGAAGAGTGCATACCAAAATTTGAATTGTAAATCTAAAAATGTAATCGCTTATGTCACTGATCTGATCAAAACATTTTACATACGTTTGAAAATATTTGAAAACTCTTCTCTATGACCTAATAATCTATATCTATAAAATATATATTTCCACTCGCTTCATCTCCTGCTGCCTCTCACTTGTTCTTTCGCAACAGAAAAAAGGGACAGAGAATGAAGAATACTAGTACATTCGAGCAAGTGGAAAAAAAGCCGCCACTTCGCAAGCACTGGATTCGGTACTGGAAGGATTCACTCGCTGAAAATATACAGATACACTCATTTCATGATTCGGTTTGTGATTGAACTTTCCCAATATGGTTGCCTCGCATTCGCATACATAATTCCACACGTATACAAGGGAGAGAGAAAAATACGCACCGCGGCCCGACATTCGCTCTGTATTTTGCCATTCTTTTCAAACTTTTCTACTGCTTCTTTCCGTTCGATGTGATCAATGCCATAAGGCCTAAAGGTGTCAACGGACAAACGGACAAACAGCCTACTTTTTTACACAATTGGCCAAAATTATGTCTAATTGTACCAATAATATGGAAAGCTATATACCAAATTGTAGGTTTTTAGGTCCTTTTTCCATCGATATATAAATGTTTCAGTTATTTTGAAATTTTTTGGACGGACAAAACCAAAATTTGTCCGTCCGTCCTTTTGAAAAATCTGCCTATCCAGCTTTTTCTCCTCAATATTGGCATCAAATCTTCAAAATAACTGTAATATTTATATATCGATGGAAAGAGGACCTAAAAACCTACAATTTGGTATGTAGCTTCCCACATTATTCGTACATTTAGACATAATTTTGGTCACTTGTGTAAAAAAGTAGGCTGTCCGTTCATTTGTCCGTTGCCTTTTTAAGGCCATGGCAAAATCGTGTTGAAATGGTTCCGAGGCGGAGTATCGATCCACCGAGTATCTGGACACGCTCAGCAGCAATCGATGGAAGAAAATCCAGGACACAAAGGACCGTATGTTCGTGGACACTGGACACCCACCAAACCATTCCAATAAAACGGAATTTCGAGGTAATTCGGTTGGCGAACGACGTTGAGCGGGTCCAAAATCAAATTATCATCACGTCACAAGACCGAAAGAGTGCCTACCTGCAAACTCGATTGGACTACGGGACCGAGAAACCAGACGAGAAAGTCATGCTGTCCATATTCCAAGCGCGTATTGTGCTACGATTCTTGAAGAAGACGAAAGATGATGGGTTGGAGATGCGAGTACGGCTTGTTGTCGATGTGGACGATCATCGTGAAACGCATTATGACATCAAAAGATCGCGCTTTGGGACCAAAATACAAGCAGTTTGCCGCCACGACACACTCTCCCAATGCCGGTCACGAGAGACCCCTTGCTGCGGATTCACCAGCATTCCCGTCGAGGGCCATCAACACCAGCCATGAGAGTGAAGCTTGTTTCTTCCCAACCTATACTTTTGGCCGGCGCAAGATAGCGGTGGCGCCTAAATAAGATGTATTAGCAATTTGCGGCATTTTTAAGAACTACCAATACATGTTGTTGTTGTCATGAATTTCGCAACAACAAGAAGTATTGATAATTCCTAAACTTGCCGCAGACTCTATTTAGACGCCACCGCTACTCACTGTCACGTCAAATACATTGGTTCTTATGGCAGAGAAGCACAGGTTGTTTCTTCCAGAAATCAATATCATTGGACCATTCTTTGTACCGTACAGACAGGAAACTGTACAAGAAGTGTGTACAAAGGATTTCGCTGATGTGTCAAAGGGCGGCCATCGAAGACCAACCAGGCAGTGACGACAACGACGAATATGCAGAATCCTCATCTGAGGAAAGCAATTAAAGAACATCTAAACTGAGTTTACTGCGAACAATATCTCTTTTACGCTAGCAGCAATCCGTACACGAACGAATCAGTGTAAGAGTTGGTTGTGTCCAGACAATGTATTTATTTTGCTAATGTCAGCTAGCTAACTGAAGATATCTGGCTGGGCTCAGCGGCTGAATTCTATGCGTTGCGTTTTTTTGTTTCATCTGCATTACAAAATTCATATCGGCAATTTCACACGAAATCAGAGAAGAGTTGTAATGACAACGTTAGTTATTGCTCATAAACACTGTGCAATTTGTCCCACATCTGCTTCGATGTCTCACAACTCATGATATGCAGCCCACATAACCTGAGAAATAATTAGCTTGAATATTGAAACACGTCCAGTCGGTTTGAGTGTAAAACCTACAGATTTACATTTTTGATATGTTATCAATATGTTATTGCCCGACATATTTATTATTATGTTATGTTGGGATTTTTTTTATTTTAATAACGTTATTAAGATTTAGCATAATAATAACATAATATGTTATGCGTTATATCGGGTGTTATCTTAATAAATCCTAAGATTCGGCGGTAATAACATTTTATTAACTATAATAATAACATATTATTAAGATGGATTTATTAACTCAATTAATAACATATTATTAGGTTTGGATTTTATTAATCCAATTAATAACATATTATTAAGATGCAATCTTAATAACGCTTTTTTCGCGCATTCTTTTCCCTAGCTGGAGAGAAAAAAAGCACTGTACGATGTACACATCTATAACAATGCAGACAAAATATGGTAAATTGATCCTTTCAAGGTCGGGACTGGCGATTTCCTAAACTTAATGGTTAAGTTCAATACATGATAATTCCGTTTCAAAGAGTCATTTTAATTTCATTGCAACAGTGCAAAAAATTCATGTGTGTACTCCGCGTTATTAAGATTGTATCTTAATAATATGTTATTAATTGAGTTAATAAATCCATCTTAATAATATGTTATTATTATAGTTAATAAAATGTTATTACCGCCGAATCTTAGGATTTATTAGGATAACACCCGATATAACGCATAACATATTATGTTATTATTATGCTGAATCTTAATAACGTTATTATTATGTTATGTTGGACCAATATATTGGCCGTTATTATTATGTTATTAAGTATAGTTAATAATATGTTATTGCCTGTAAATCTGTAGTAAAACCAGAAGAACGTTTATTGAATAATCAAACGTCGAAGTCAAGTCATCTGTCAAATGTCAAACTTAATGCTACATTTTAAGATGCATTCACATTTACATTTTGATTGCTATTTCCAACATTTTGGACCTCAAGTCAAATATCATATTCTCTTCATTCAAATTTGACTTGAGATGCGGAGTTTTGTACTGCAGAGGTGCAGATGCGTTGAAAAAACGCAACGCTTACGAGTCAGCAGCTGATATCAGGAACTGACGTTAGTTATTGCTGCTGACATCAGCTCATAACACGCTCCGGTTGTTGTACTTGACATACCCTACAACTCTGCTGAAGATAGAAGTCACTTATCTTTTATCAGTTACGTGTAATACGCGAAAATCCGCCCACAATACGGGGTATTTGCTAAAAAAAATTCGCGTAACTGATAAGGGATAATGACTTTGTGTCTTGAGCAAAGTTGTAGACCCGCTCTACAACTTTGCCGAAGAAATATATCGCTTATTTCTTATCAGTCACGCGAAAAACCGCGAAAAACGCGAATCCTTTCTTATCATTTTTCGCGCAACTAATAAGAGATAACGAAATGGTGTCTTTGAGAATATTGTAGAAATCAACCTGCTTTACAACTCTGCTAAAGACAGAAGTCACTCATCTTTTATCAGTCCCGTTAGATATTCGCGGTTTCTCGCGTATTCCACTGAATTGATAAAAGATTAGTGATATCTGCCTTCGGCGAAGTTGTGGGAGTACTACAACTTCGCCGAAGACACCAAGTTGCTATCTCTTATCACGGTCCAGTTTCCATGAAAAAATACACTTAGGGCGTTGTACGCCAAGAAACAAGCAACGAACATGTGTGCTTCAAAAACAATATCTCACACATGCTTACACATATACATATGAAATTTCACTGGTGTGTAGCTAAAGGTTCAAGATTTCGAACGGTACCGATTTTTTTTGGTTTTTGTTACTTTTACTTGTATTTCAAAATCGCCTCGAGCGTTGTACGCCCCGGAAACAGGCAAAGTGTTAAGAAAATTACCTTAAAAAAAGCTTTTTGCAAAATAGTCCAAAAACAATTTCGGCTCGCTCCTCTTGCCTCAGAATTGCATAATTTATCCAGTGCAACAACCCTTTTTTTATTCTTGCAACAACTTGATGCTGGTGTATTGAAAGAAGATCTAACTTTTTCATCGACTTCAATAACGGAAATTACGGCCAAAATGCGAACAACGTTGAGGGTTGAAAAACATCAAAGGATCCTTTTTTCGAAATCCAGTGGGGTGGATTCTGAAATTTTGCACCGAGGCGCCGGACGGGCTCGGATAGGCGCTGAACCAACGCCGGTGGTATAAACACAAAAAGATCAGGTTTTTCATGACTCTTGGAGTTATTTTCCTGCAAAAACGAAATTATTCAGCCAGACGGTGTCAATGAAATACAAAAATAAAACATTTCATACAAAAACCATAAATATAATTTTTTTTTTATTTACATCACAGTAGTTTCGTTAACAAATTAGAAGAGTGCATACCAAAATTTGAATTCTAAATCTAAAAATGTCATCGCCTATGGCACTGATCTGATCAAAACATTTAACATACGTTTGAAAATATTTAAAATCTCTAAAACTTAAGAATTTTTCTGGTCAAGCTTTCTCAAGTTCAACAAATAGAAACCACCGAAAGACTTGATACTTTCGAAATTCGTCATGATTGATCAATTAACTTAATTTTGAATGCTGAATGGGAAAATTTTCAAAATAATTAATGCATGGATTATTTTAAAAAAATCTAGTTGTTGATTGCCTTATTTGAATACAAAAAAGAACGTATATTAAAATCCATAATCTATTTCGAATTGACTTGTCCGAATGAAAACAAAACAAAAAAAGAAACTGCTAAAATCTTTTTAGCTACAATTAACTGCCAGTGAGAAACAATGTTTTCAACATAAACAAACTCATGTCTGCTTACATAGAGCTGATAACATAGCACATAAAATAATAATCAAACAATTTATTCTTCTATTTCCTAAATTGATGGTCGGGCTCATGTTCACACATGAACTTCTTGAGCTACTTCATCATCTCTTATTGTAGTATAGTGGACTTTTCTTGACGACACGACTGGAGATACAAAATGTTTTATTCGATCCTTGCTAACGTACAAAATGGCGCCGATCATACCAATCAAAATGCATATGAGTACTACTAGAAAGAATACTAAAAACACTTGGTGTCCATCAGTCGTATTATGATGTTGTGATTTGACTTTGCACTTCAAATTAATGGCGGCAATTCGTTCAGCATCATCTTCACTACGATAGCATCTAAGTCTATCTTTGTCACGAATTGTTACGTTTGTCGAACGTAACCAGCTTACGAATGGATATATTGTGCAGTCACTGCAGTCAAATGGGTTCAGACTGAAATCCAAAATCAACCTTTCGGTTCGCCCAGCTGCATTTTCAAGCATTTCGAGTGCTTCTATGTCCCGCATTTTAACAAATTCAAATCGATTACGTTCCAAATCCAAAAACCGTAAGTGATGGAGACACATCACATTGAAATTCAGCTCTTTCAAATTATTATCACCTAAATGAAGATCTTCTAGCTGGGGAAGATCACAAAAAACATTGCGATCTTTGAAATGGCTAATTTCGTTTTGTTCCAGATGAAGCTTTGTTAGTAGCGTTAGATTGCTTTTGACAAAAATCGCGTGTAGATCTTGACTTAGCTCCGGTGAATAATAGTCTGCGAATGCATTAGTCAGGTGTAATGCCCTTAAATTGAGAAAATTCGAAAATATCCGCGGATGTAAGTGATTGGCTTCATCTTCACTTCCAAGTGAAGGAGATATGCTCAGATTATTGTGATTCAAAATTAATCTTTCCACATGATGGACATGGTGATATGTTTTACCTGAAAAAATATATTGTAAATGTTCACTAATGTATTTATTATTTAAATCAATTAAATAAGTATCAAAAAATTGTTCTAATAATAAAAAAAATTGTTAATAATTAATTACACAGTCCGACGCGTGTTTTTTTTAAATTGGCACATGGGATGTTCCAGTGCCAGGTGATAGTTGTGGCCGCCCTGAGTTCAGAATGGGTCATGGTTATGGTCGAAGATCAGCAAGTTTAATCTAGAGTTTAATAGTTATGACATCCAGCGTTTCTACGTTTCAGGAGGAACAAATTTCTTGATGAAACTCAGTTTTTACACCAATACTCGGTAATTATAGGTTTTCTATCCATCTGTTCAAGAGGCAATTTGTTCAGATGATTACGCAGAAGCGATTCTATTCTCTCGGAGCTACAATATGTTCCAGAAAATGGGTTGAAATGGGTAAAATTCGTGAAAAATGGTCAATTTTTGCATTATAGTAACATTTTACACTTTTGAAATGTACGGTTCAACAAATGAAGGTCAGATTTTAGTTGCTGGCGAGCCCAGATAAACCTTATATTTCGTTTTGATAAGTTGGTGGATTCAGTGGAAAAAAAAATGTTTTTCAAATTTTTTGTCAGTGGTGTTAGAAAAATGGTTG